ACTTCGTTGGATTCTAGTTTTAATTAGGACTAAAATTTAACGGTTAAATCCCAGAGGAGTTGCCTGCCTGTCATGTTCCCATAAAAAAAAGAAAAAAAAAAGAAAAAAAAAAAAAGGAGTTCCATGTGGTGTCTTCTAATGAGCTAAATTTATATATATGTTAATGTGAAATTATTGCCTTAATATTATTGATATTTGAATGAGTTTTATGAGATTTTACTTGATTTTACATGATTTTTATTCTTTGTGTAGGAAAGGATTTAATTGGAAGAAATTATAATTTTTAGGAGTAAATTTTAGAGATCAGAAACTTGAGGATCAACTTGTGCAGAATCCAGAAGTCAGGGACTAGGACTGTTATTTTACCATTACAGAAATGGCCAAGAAGGCCAAAAACCCGACATGGCGATGGCATTGTGCGCTGAACAGAAAGTGTCGGCACCTTGTTGAACCTGTTGACCCCTTCCGCAATTTTCACAATATCTGTGTTTAGTTGATTATTATAAGTGTGGGTCTCACGTCTATTCTAATTAAGGTTTTTAAAACTTATAAATACCCTTCTAAATTTAGAATTGAGAGAGCTAATGAGGCTGGTGGTAATCCTCTTTGGGGTATTCCCGGAGTTCAAGATAAAAAATTCATCACCAATAGAAGATCAAGAAGTTCAAGTTCCTTAAATTAGGTTTGTTTTTCTTTATATTCTTTTTTATCTATTATTTGATATTCAAATGTTCATAACTATGATTTCAGATTTTATTATTTTTGTAATGAACTAATTTATTTTATTAAGGTTATAATGTAACCTAATTAATTTAATATAAATTTTATGATTTTTACTTTCAATTAAAGTTATTTGTATGATGAATTTATATTATTGAGTTTAATGCATTGAGAGCTGATCACCTTTCAATTGATTTAGTGATTTATGCATGAACTTGAGAAAGAATTGCATAAATTAGACCAATAATAATATAAACTGTGTGCTAGACTATGAAACCGAAAGGTAATTAACTCATATGTGGTAGTGCAGGAAGAAGAGAGTTAGGAGCTCCATCTTCTTAAGTTAGAGGTTTTCATAGAATTTTATACTCATTCGTTTGTTTAAAATTACATAAAAATATAATTAATTTAGTAAACAAGTAAATGATTAATTTGACTTGAGAAAGCTAATTAATTAATTTAAGGAATATGTCATCACATGCAATACCACTAAACATTTTGACAATTTAAAATTTATATTAATTGATTATGGTGAAATCAATGTTTTAATACCTCATATCTTGATTAGTTTTATTTTAATTATTAGTTTCTTTTTGTTATTTTAATTAAAATTCCATCTTCTTGATTGTTTAAATAAATTTAAATTAATTATTTTGATATTTAATTAAACACAATTCTTATGGGTTTGACACTTTTCTCATCATTATATTATTTGGAGTGACTAATACATTTGTTAGAGTGATTGTTTTTAGTTTACTCGAAGACGAGCAAAACTTAAGTTTGAGGGAATTTGATGAGCTAAATTTATATACATGTTAATGTGAAATTGTTACCTTGATATTGTTGATATTTGGATGAGTTTTATGATATTTTACTTGATTTTACATAATTTTTATTCTTTGGATCAAACAAACACAAAAATAGTCATTAATCTTTCTCAGTCTTTATAAGTTTCTTGATTTTTGTTATAGATTGCTGGAGTAAATTATCAGAAACTTCATCCAAACAAGACTCAATAAATGACCTGTTTGAAAAGAAAAGTCCTTCATTTGATACATTTTCAGTACAATTATCTCATATGTGGGAAATCTAATTCTATAATCACAAAACATTACTAAAATTAAAAATTAAGTGCTAAAACCATAAAATATTACACTAACTTATAGTAATAGAAAGTTGATATAATTTTTTATTGAAAAGTATAAGTTCACCCCATCAATATGTTTTTTCATTGAAATACTTGCATTCTAGTCACATAAAAAGTTTTGAATTTCAAAAGATTCCTACATGATTATGTTATAAACAAAAATTTTAAAAGATTTAAATTTAATTTAAGAATAAAAATATTATATATATATAGAGGCTAACACACCTATCCAGTAGTCT